CATTTCTGTTACCTTCAGGAAGCAGGCCAATTTGGGAAATGGCAGATGCATTAAGAACTGTCTTTTCCTGAAATGTTGCGGATCGGTTACGGCAAACTGAACAGCGACCGTCAAGGAAAATTGTCACTCTGGGCTCTTTTTTGACCCCAGCAGCTATGAGGAAGCAGCCGAAGCTTCGATGAGAGCCAAGGGGAAGCTCCGCACCCGAACGACTGGGCCGCCAGCTTTAATCCAAGACTGCCGACACCTACATGAGTTTAATGCTTTACTACGAAACCGGTTCTGCATTCTTCGCTTTACTTACTACTTTTCAGATCACTCCGTACAAGACTTGAGATCAAATTACTTTCCAAAGGTTATCTTTGAATCTTTTTAAATAAAGACCAGAGAATCGAAATCGCCCTTATACGGGCTGGGGACGTTCATTAGCGTGACTTGTAAGCAGAAGTCACAGGGAAAAGTCACCCTGTGACTCGAATCCTGGTCAGACCCACACCAGCTTTCCGCTTGTGCCCCCCGTCACTCACCTGTCAGCCGAGGGCGCGGGGCAGCGCGGGCGGAGGTGCGGCCGAGGCATCGCCTCGTGGACTTGGGCCCGAGCAGTGGCGGACATGCGGCCCAGGCTGCAGGCCCCGCTCCGCTGTAACACACAACATCCCGCGACCTCGAAAGGTTGTCTCTGACCTTTGCGGGATTTTAGCGGCCTGACCCAGCTAGGGGATAGGAAAAAAATTAAGGTGGGTGAGGATTCCAGGGATGCCTTCCGTCAAGCTGCACGAGGAGGTAATGGCGACAGGAAGAAAGGACGAAAATGAGCGGAATCGTGGTTTATATAGAGCCTGCGACTCGCTGCCGTGCCTGGCGATTGGACTAGCACCGGGCGCATTGCCGCTGGGAGTTGTAGTTCATTGGCTCTCTCCGCGAGGGCGGAACGTCACCATCCCCTATATATTGTGATGCGTGGCGTTCGTGCCATCCGGAGGACTCAGCGACTTTAAGAACTACAGAACTTAGCCTTACTTTATCCTGTGCTATCTTCATTATCTCTAATATACTACAGCCCATTGTTCATTCACTGAGCCAATCTATCTTCTTGAAGGTCTTCCTCTTTCTGACCCTCTGCCTTTCTCCCATCACTTTTCTGACAGTTTGCCCTACTGTGGTGGCTTGTGTGTTGCTGTGATGCTGGAAGTTATGCCACTGATATTTCAGGTACCAACAAGGTCATTATTGATGGATAGGTTTCAGCAGAGCTTCTAGACAGACTAAAAAGTAGGTCATCCAACTCCAAAATAACAGGCCTTTAAAAACTATGTACACAAAACAACTATCAGGTATCACCTCACCCCAGTAAGCAAAGCAAAATTTAACAGAACAGCAAACAACAAACTGGAATCCTTATAAATTGCTAGTGGGAGTGTAAAATGGTGCAACCACTATGGAAGGCAGTATGGCACTTTCTCAAGAAATTGCAAGTAGAAATACCATTTGATTCAGCAATCCCACTACTGGGAATATACCCCAAAGAAACCATAACTGCCACCCAAGCAGATATATGCACACCCATGTTTATAGCAGCTTTGCTCACAATAGCAAAAACTTGGTAACAACCCAAGAGCCCATCAACAAATGAATGGATAGAGAAGCTCTGGTATATTCACACAATGGAATACTATGCTGCGGTGAAAAACAAAGAACTCATGAAATATTCAAAATGGATGACCCTGGAGGACATTATGCTGAGTG